ATCCTAAACCAGCAATTGTTGTTAATTGCCGTTGAGTCGATTCCAACCCATAGCGACCTTGTATAGAGTTTTCAAGGAGCAGCTGGTGAGCTTGACAGACCAATCTCGCAGTTCAAATGCAGCAGCTGGTGAGCTTGACAGACCAATCTTGCAGTTCAAATGCCGTTGCAGTCTGACATATTAGCCCACCACACCACACCAGGACTCCAAACCAACAATATGCACCTGAAACTTAACATATCCAAACCAAATCTTTCCAAAACCTGTTTTCAACAATCTATTTCCCATAAATAGCAACTCTGTCCTTTCAGGAGTGTCCTGGTGTGGCACCATAGGATAAGCACTTGACCTCAAGGCTGGTTTGAGCCACAAGGTCGGCAGTGCCAACTCATCAGCCACTCCTCCGAAACCCTATACAGAGTCACTATGAATCGGAACCAACTCAATGGAATTTAACAATGCTTCCAGACACTCAGGCCAAAACCCTTGGAGTTATCCTTGACTCCCTATTTTTATAACTCATCCAATCTTACAAATTGTTATTATTGGTCCCTTCGTTACTGATGACCAATTACTTATTTTTGCCCAAACCAGTATAATTTATCCTATCCTGTGGCACTGCAAGTTAATATGCTGGACTCCAAGGTCTGGTTGAACTACAAGGTCAGTTGTTCAAGCTCACCAGCCACTCCTTGTAAACCCTATGCAGAGTCACTATGAGCTGGAAACACCGAGTCAGTGGCATTTAACAGCAACCCAAATAGCCTGGTTTCCATTTTCACTCTTACCCAACTGTTTTGCTCAAAAGAACCAGTAAACTTTGAATGCCCAGGTCCATGTCACTCTATTCTCTATCTAGATGGATGCTCATCACACTCAAGAAGTATAATTTAACCAAATCTCCTGGTGTAAGGAGCTCTGGTAGCATAGTGGTTACCAATCGGGCTGCTAACCTCAGGGTCAGCAATTCGAAACTACCAGCTGCTCCGTGGGAAAAAGATGAGGCTTTCCGTTCCCGTAAAGATTTATAGCCTCAGAAACCCTGTGCAGGGTCGCTATGAGTCAGAACCGACTCCACAGCATACAACTACAAAACCTGATGTAGCCCTGTGGGATAATGAGCTGAAATGCAAAGTCATTTGAACCACAAGGCTGGTTTTTCAAGCACACCAGCCACTCCTTGGAAACCCTATACAGGGTCACTATGGGTCAGAAACAACTCAACACTTCGCAAGACTCTAATACAGACCCTGGTTAACTTCCTGCTTCTCACTACTCCAATACTTTTACTGTTCCTAGATTTCAGGAATTTTTCCAAAGACTCTTCAAGTTACCACTGCTGAATAAACACAACCCAGATGTGAGCATAGGTTCCTTATCATAATATATCCATTTACTTTTTTTTTCTCCAGAGCACATCAAGTACTGCTATACTACAAATTCAATTGAAAGTAACTTTTTGAGTAGTATTTTCCAAACATGACGGTTTGCACAGATTCACCAAGTATGGGGCAGAGCTAGACTGCTTGTTTAATAGCTTTTCCAACGTGGCATATCCAACCTTTTGGTAAAATCCTAGGCTAATTTTGTTCCTAATCTCACACTTTTGTTAATTGCCTGTCATTTCCAACTCAAGAGATCCTGTATAGGGTGATAGGATTTCAGAGGACTGACAGTTTAAACTGCATTCATTAGGTATGTTAAAGCCACATACCTACACCTTTCACAGGCTTACAGACCAAGGATTTCTTAATCTGCACACTCACGCTTTTATTGCTCCTTATTTACTATTTTTCTCAGCAAATACACACCTGAACATATACATACCACATGAATAAATACTATTTGCTGAGAAAAAGAATTTTAATTTCCAAATGCAAACTCCTATACTAACAGTAATCACTGTTATCTGGAAACGTAACTGGAGAAATTAAGTTTTCATCTGTGAAACATACCAAAAGCTAGACTGCACTCTCTGGCCAAAAGCCCATAGCACATTTTACTCAGTGTTCCTTCCTAGTCACTTGCAACAGAGATGTTTTATTCTTTCACTGTCCCATCACACCACTGTCTGATGAATTACCTCAGAAAATACATCAAATGCTTCCATATACAATACAGTACGCATGTTACATGGCGAAATGTTATTCAAAGTATAAAAAAAGTCTAGTGGATTTGACAATAAAAATCTGCTTCCTCCAATGGAAACCTTTTCCAAATTAGGGGAAAACGAGCTCTAGTAACATGGCAGTTGGTGGTTGTGTGCCTTGGGGTCGGTTCCGACTCATAGCAACCCTGTACAGGGTTTCCAAAGCTGGAGATCTTTAAGGGAGAAGAAAGCCTCATCTTTCTCCCACGAACAGTTTGTAGTTTCAAACTGCTGACCCTGAGGTTAGCAGCCTGACTCGTAACCACTATGCTACTAGGAGCTCCTCTGGTCAATAGTTCTAAACCAGCAACTGCTCCGTGGGAGAAAGATGAGGCTTTCTGCCCCCGTAAAGATCTCCAGCCTCGGAAACCCTGTACAGGGCGAGTCGGAAGAAACCGATTACACGGCACACAGCCACCACCAAGCCCTGTATTTAAAAGATAAATCCATTGGGAGTACAAGAATAAAAGTTAATAGAGGTAAACAGTTACATACACAATCCTGCTATGTGTAGATGCATGGAAACTCCCAAGCTGACAGGGTGTGAGTGGGCATATGGCCAAAAATATGTTTACATTTGACATAATATATTTGTACCGGAGTTGCTTCCCTTTGCTACAAATATATCCATGAATATAGAATACAAAGGGGGCAAAGGTATGAAAATTTGTTAAACATAATCACCATGAGGCAATGAGTCATGGGTCCACATGCTCAAGAACACCAAAGTCAAGTGGGCTTAACAGAGTCCACATTAGAGAGCAACAGCCACCTTAAAGACCAAAGAGGAGTTACACCTGACCCAAACTATGGCATTTTCAATTATTACATATGCATGTGAAAGTTAGACAATGAATAAACCAGAGAATTCATGCATTTGCATTAAGGTGTTGGATAATATTAAAGTACCATGGAACACAAATAGAAACAAATCTGTTGGAAGTAGTAGTTAGAATGCTTAGAAACCAGGATGTCAGTATTTCTCATATTATCAGGAGGGACTAGTCCCTGGAGGACATCATACTTGGTGGAGGGTCAAAGGAAGACGCCAATTGAGATGGAGTGGCACTGTGGGAACAGCAAGGGGTTCAAGCGTAGCAACTATTGTGATGTTGCCACAGGACCAGGTAGTTTCATTCTGTTGTGCATAAGGTCAGATGGACTAGAAGCACCACAAAATGTCCAAGTATTGGTCTCTCCCTGTCCATAGAAAACAAGAATGAAGTAAAAGAAATACTCATGTAAACAGGAAGCATGAGAAATTAGAATTAGTTACTGATGTTGTGGGAGACTGCAATTAATGAAATATAATATGTATTAATTATTGAATGAAAAACTCATCTTCTCTGTAAACCTTCACCCAACTCACAAAATCATTAAAATACATACATTGAGGAAGATTTTATTTTTTATTTTCTTAAGCAATTAATTTCATTCACATTAAAACAGCCATAATTGTAATTTTTATTTTATGTACAGTGTTGACATGTTTCTGCTGA